AAAAATTTTATTTGCTCTGTAGTTGGACATACTTACAGCGTAGGTGTTTATCAATTTCGACCTCATTCAGTAACAAGTGTTTATTGAGCATTTGGTATTCTTTCCCAGACTTCAGGCACAGAGCTGTGTAAACAAAAAGACAAGCTCCCAGTTCTCATGAGGTTACACCTAGGAAGGGGACCAGGCAAACAGGCCAGGTTGGATGTCTACCAGGCTAGTTGGAGAGTGTTCCAGGAAGAAGGAACATCCAGTATAAAGGCTCAGAAGTGCCCTCATCTTGCTGATATTTGAAGAATAGTAGATGAGAGGAGAGGGGTATGCAGTAGAGGTGGAGGGAGAGAGAGGAGGGGGAGGGCTGGGAGTGTTCTCAGTGGCAGAATACTTACCTAGTATGTGCAGGCCCTGGGTTCCATGCCCAGCACTAGTAAAACGGAAAAAAGGAGGAAGGGGTGGTGGTTATGGTGGGTAAGATGCTCTAGGATGTGGTAGTATTTTTGATGATCTAAAATTTTAGAAAAAAATTACTATCTTCTCTGAACCCTTTCATAAGTCATCACACAGCATTATGAGTGTAAATCACACAACTGACTCTCGTCTAATTGAATTTCTCTCAACTGACTAAATAGCTTGACTCTCTCAGGAAACCCCCAAGGTGTCACAGGACCCTTCCAAGTTGTGTACTCATCATCTCTTTTCAACTAATTGACAAAGTTTTGAAGATAGGACTCTTGTTCCTTAAGGGTCTGCCACAAAGCCTTCATGTATCAGAGACACTCAGCTGCTATTAGACTAAATAAATATAATTCTAATTTACATTGCTGAATGATTGAGGCCCCCAAGAATTGAGTTTGTGGTCAAGATTATCAACCTGTTTTGGCTTTCTCTCTCTTCCCCTCTTGTAACAGTGCCTAATTTTTTTTTCAGAGTGCCTAATGAAAGCATTTGAAAAGGTCAAATCTAAGGTCAGCCACTTTTGTGGTATTGGAGCTTGAACCCAGCAGTGCTCTGCCACTGAGCTACATCCCAACCCTTTTTGAGATCACTAGCCTTGAGCTAGTGTACCATCATATCTAGCAAATTCAGCCACTTTTGAACCTATTCTAGATAGTTGAAATGACTGCATTATCTTTATTAGTATCTTTTTGGTCTCCTTTAGGCAGACTTTGCTTAGTGAGGAGGTAAATAACAGAGAGAATATTCTAGTTTATATTTATGCTCATGAGAAACAAGGTTATCTCCACAGTGATAGACCTATTGTTTTGACATCTTTTTGAAATTCTCTGCAATGTTTAATCTCAGCAAATTGCAAGACTAGGACTCCTGATTGTTATAAAGAACAAAATACAAGGAAAGAGTTTGAAGATAGGCAAATTCCTCCACTTATTACTGGTGGATATGACAGTGGAGACCCAGAGACCATAATCTTTGCTTGTGTGGCTGTGGATCAGATTGTCCTCTTGATTTTCCACACTTAGGTCCATACACTTCATGAAAGACACCCTGTGATACTGCCATAGACATCCTACACTCCTTCCAATCTGGGTTCTGGCAGGCAGCTTTCTTTCTTCTGGGAAATCACAAGATCCCCCTCTCCACCGTTCATCCTGTTCTTTCAGATTATGAAGCTGTCCTCATCCAGTTGGTCTTGCAGGCAGAGATAGTTTTCCCCTCTTTCAGAGCTGACAGTACTTGGTTCTTCTTTTTCTCCATTCATTTTCTCTTTTTTGTGCTACTGGGAATTGAACTGAAGGATACTCTACGAGTTATCTTCAGCTCTTTTCATTTTTTATTTTGAGACAGCATCTCACCAAGTTGCTTAGGACCTTACTAAATTGCTGAGGCTGGCCTTGAACTTGCAATCATCCTATCTCAGCCTCTCAAGTTGCTGGGATATTATAAAAATTGAGGGACAGGTCTGAAGGTAGATAAAATGGCTCTTAGTTCACTGTCCATAAAAATAATCTGTCCGAGTGGAGTGGATGGTGTCCTTCCTGAGGGCACAGATTTCTCTATTCATCAGTAGATGATCAGTAGGTATTTTTAAACCACATTTTGGTTTTAGTGTTAAATACAGTATAAAAGAGGGTCCTTGACCTTCCTTTAGGTGAACTATGAAACTCTGGTGTTTTTTTTTTTGCACTGGGGGGGATTGAATTCTGGACCTTATACATGCTAAGCATGTGCTTTAAGGCTGAACTATACCTCAGTACCCACCCCTGCCCTTTTCTTCTCTTTTTCATATTTTATTTCTTTTCTTTGTTTCTTTTTATTTATTTATTTTTGTAATACTGGGGGGTTGAATCCAGGGGTGCTATACCACTGAGTTATGTCCTATGTTTTTTGTTATTTTTGTTTTGGGACAGTCTCAAGACCAGATTGCCCAGGCTGTCCTCGAATGTGTGATCCTGCTCCTCAATTTCCAAGGTGTTGGAATTACAGGTTTGTGCTACTATGTCCGGCCCAGCTCTGTTCTTTTAAATCTGTGTTTAAATAATGACAAAATTTGGGGCTTATTGGCTATATGCCATCCTGTCTAGCCTGTGTCAGGCATATATCTCTTGTGCAGATGACTTGACTTTACTTGTCTGAACTAAGCTAGCCTTAAAAAGTAAGTAACTAGCCTGGCATGGTGGTATCCACCATCCTAGTGACCCAGGTGGCTGAGGTATGAAAATTGCAAGTTCCAGGCTAGTCTCAGCGCTTAAGTGAGACCCTTAGCAACTTCGTAAGAACATGTCTCAAAATAAAAAATAAAAAGAACTGGAATGTAGCTCATTGGTAGAGCTTCTATGAGTTCAATCTCCAGCATGACCCCCACCTGCCAAAAATAAAATGAAATACAATAAAATGTTACTAAATTGATTTAAACCAATTCAAAAAAGTACTGCTGTTTTGATTGACATTTGCTGGATGGCTAGATGATATTAGTGCAATAAAGAAGGTTGATTCATTCAATTCTCAAGAGGCAGGGTAGAGAAGGGAAGAGCCTATGAGTTATACAGTTGGAGTATCTGGGTATGGATCCTGGCCCTGTATTCTTGGGCAGTGCAATGATGAACGTCATACTCCTTTGCATATAACATGAGCATGAAATGATAGATCTAAGGTCATCTTTTGGGTTACATTTATGTATCTAAGAGACTGATTAGGAACCTGGCAAATGGCAGGGGCTCTGAAGGAGCAAACTGGCAATGTGAAGAGTGTATTTGCCCTCCCTGACTTTTAAAATGTGGACTTTGCCCATTCAAAGCTTTGCACTTTGCACTAGTGTCAGGCACTATTCTAAACATGTCTCCATGATTTATCCTCTAACACAATTGTTACCCTTCTTTACCAGATGAGGAAATAGAGACAAAGAAATATCTACTTGAGTATATTTTGTAGATAAAGCCTGATGTAAATCCTAAAGGAGTCAGTGAAGAGCATAGAAACACTGGGACCAAGTCCAGGTAGGCTATAGCAATCTTAGATGTAGAAGTCCTTGTCCAAACAGGAGGAAGACAAGAATGAGAAAGACTCTAGTTGGGTAAAGCTTGTGAATCTAGAGAAGAAAACAAGGAGCAAGCACTCTATTGACCTGAAAGTACAGTGGTGAAAACTAGAGTACTAGCTTACTGGCTTGGTTTCAGTGGTAAAGGAGGAGGGTCCCAGGCTTCCAGGCTTCTATGGGGGGAGGAACCTGGAGGACCAGGCAGCATCATGTGACTTCACTATATTTAATCTGTATTTTTTCCTCAGCCAAGATTATAATGGAATCACTATGGAAACAGCATTCATGTATGAGAAATCTATTTGTCATCCAAATTTTGTTTGAATATTTTGTTTTTTTGAATGCTTTGAACCTATGAGGTGAGGCATACCTGGTTTTGGAGCTTTGTCTGAATTAGACCCTCAAATCCATATAAATGGGGGAATCCACGGCTGGGACTGTACCTCAGTGGTAAAGCGCTTGTGTTGCATGTGTGAGGCACTAGGTTAAATTCTCAGCACCACATATGAACAAATAAAGGTCCATCAACAATGACCACAAAAAAGCGTTGGGGGGGGGGGGACCCAGGAAAGCACTCCACCACTAGTTCATTAGTCAAAAACATGTTTCTAATATAGTGGCTTATGAAGTTACTCTACTATTTTGCAAATAGAAAAAAAGGATGAGCTGCTAGACATGAAAAACAAGGTGCAATGATGAATTTTGTAAAAGAGAAAACAAACTGCATCTACTAGCTAACATTGCTTAGGTATTTCTCATAGGACGTTTTTCTCACTTGAGGAGCTTCTCATCTCTAGTAACATCGTTATCAGCGCTGGTTAAGATTTTTTCTTACTTTGCAGCTATTTTAAATTTATGACCAGCAGGCAGGCAGGAATGCAGGATTCATCCTCCCCCTCCAATCCCATTACTTTTCTACTTCGAAAATGTAAACATATATACATTATTGTTTGGCTCTTCCTTTTCATTCGATTACTCTTTTTCTAAGTTTGGGGGATCTAACTCAGATGGTTCACCCAAATTATGTAAAAGGAAAGAAACCAAGTGTTTGGGACATTTCCCCTCATCCCACCCAGAATTATCCAGGTCATGGTCTCTGTTCTTTGTTTCGGGAGCAGGGTCTCCTAGCTCATGGCAGGGTGCTGCAAGTCAGTCCTTTCCAGGGTTTCCCCTAGTCGCAGCCACCGGTACTCAGCAGCACAACGCGCCTACCCCAAAAACCCCTCCAGCAGCCAGAGCTCTGCGGGAGCGGAGACTCTAGGACCGCGCAGCGGGCGGGAGTGAGCCAATGCCCATCCTCGGCACCGCCCCCGACACGCAAAGGGGTGGGGCCGGGCCAGAGTTCCGCCGCTCGCGCACCCAGGCCTGGGAGGCGGGCGACGAGCAGTGGGCGGGGTCGTACGCTGGCCAGGGAGGGGCTGGAGTTTTGTGGCTGCAGCTACAGAACCGCGGAGGCGGGCGCCGACGGGCGGGTTGGGCAGTGCTGCCGTGCAGCGCAACTGCCGGGCTTTAGGGCCTCCGCGGAGCCCGCTTCCCGGCGCGCTGGGCGGGGTGTGCGGCGAGCGGCTTCGCGGGCAGGCGCGGGCCCGGAGGCAGCGGCTGCGCCCTGCGCCGGGGCGGAGCCGGGGGCGGGCGGCCGGCAGGCGGGGGCTAGGGCCGAGGCCGAGAGTGCCTGAGCGCCGGCGGCTACGACGGCAGCGGAGGCCCAGCAGGCTCTGTGCGTGGGTCCGCGGCGGCTCGGGGTCCGCCCGCGGGTTGCGGTGCGAGCGGGGGGCCCGGCTGCCCTCCTCCCCCGCCCGCCGCCGCCGCTGTGATTGGGTGGAAGATGGCGCTGGGCGGATGGAAATCCTAATGACAGTCTCCAAATTCGCTTCCATCTGTACCATGGTAGGTGCGGCGGGAGGGCGGCGCGGGTGGCGCGGAGCCCTCGGTCCGGCGGCGGACGACCCGGGTTCTTGACACTCGGGGCGCTGCCTGAAGGGCCTAGCGCGGGGGCGGTTGGACTGCGCGCCCCGGGCGGCGCGGGGGATGAGCGGCCCGCGCGGCGGGGGAGGGGAGGGGAGGTGGCCGGGGCGACTCGCGCGTGGCCAAGAGGGGAGACCATGCTGGACGTGGCGGGGGCCGGCTCTGGCCTTTAGGAGCTCCGGGCCAGACCGCTCGAGCCTTCCCGCGGCGAACCAGCCTGCGGGGCGCGGGGTGTGTGCGCGCCCTTCGGAGCGCGGCCGTGGGCCGGGGTCGCTGGAGAAGGGACGCCGAGCTGCGTGTCTTCATTTCCGTCTGGCCGAGCGCCCCGCGGGGAGCTGCCCCTGGCGGGTGTGGGGGTCTGTGGGCAGGAAGGAAAGGTCTCATTCCTACCCGGGGAGGGGACGGAAGTCAAGTGCAGATTTCCTCCACGCGCCTCTGGCTAGGCGGAGCCCCCGACCCCATGCTGGGGGGAAGGGGGTGTGTGAGAAGGTGGAAACTTTTAGTGCTGTTGAAATTTTCTCTATTTTCTACTCTCCGAAAGGAACGTGCTCTCGGATTTCCAGCTTGTGTCCAGGTGGCAGTCTTGTCATTGGAAATCCACGTTAATCTTGAAAAGCAGCGTTAGCTTTCCTGTCATTTGTTTATTTGACTACACCAAGACTCCTATGTGTGAGGGACTGACTGTAAGGGCGATTGTATTGTTTTATTTAGGACTTTTAAACAGACTTAGGGGGAAAGTATTAATGCTCCTTAAAAGTTTCGAATTAAGCAAAGTGTGGGTGGATTTAAAACTTGTTTTTGTGCTTGGCCAGACGATCACTGTTTTCCATACGTGACAGATTCCTTTCATTAGATCTTTTATGTAGGGATTGTAATTTGAGTCATCACCAGCAAAAAGTTATTCTTTGCAATGTGGGCCTGGTGTTATGTTCCTAAGACTTCCGAAATCATTTTCATCTCTCTTCACCCTGTTTCATATAGGAGATCCCCAAGCAGTTTTCCATCAGAGGGTGGTACATTTTATATATTTAAGGAGTGGTGATTCAGATCGCAAAAGTGTGCTAAAAGCTGATTGTCTACGACATGCTATGGAACAATATTTAAAATGGCTGAAATCAGGTGGGCTTAAAATCTACAGTATTAAAGAAGAATGAATCATTGAGAATCCATTTCCCCATGTGGATGATTGTTCTTTCTCACAATTTACATTTTAGGAAAGCATTGGTATTAAGAGGACTCTACTAAAATAATTTCTCAGAATTGGGCTAATTATTTTTAGAAATGGTAGTTTTATTGATTTCGAAACAGATGTAATGATTAAATCTTTTAACAGTGATAATTTTGCCAGATTGCTGGGCTACACAGACTTTATGGGACATAGTTCATTGTCAAAGTCTAGGGCTTTAGGAGTGGTGATATTCTTTACTATTAATTCACTTACACAAAGATATGAAGTATTCCCACAAAATGGCACAGACTACTGATGCAGAGGTGGTTAAGGCAGTTTCTGCTCTTAGTGTTTACATTCTAGTTGAAGGAGACAAACAATATTTAAATATGTTAATAAATATAATCAGATTAGAACAAGGAAGCACGAGATTTGCCAACGCCACACACTGAATAAGTGGGATTCTCATCTCAAGGATGTCAGACTGAAGCTCTTTCTAGGGCTTCCACTCAGGTGCATTAATTAATTGCATGCAATGTGTATTTTGTCACTGGCAATACTGAATTGTCTGTGCCTGGTCAAATGAGATCATTCCAAAGGTACTATTAAAATTGGTTATATCCTTTCATATTTAAATAAATTCTAATGCACTTCCAGAATATGGCTAAATATCTCAAGGTAATTTGAAGTGTTATTTTCTAAAGAAAATTGCCATCCCATCTTCTAAGAATTACAAAGTCAAGAAAAGCAAAAATAATTACTCTGTTCCTTTGTAGATGCTCTGTGCTAGGCTTGGAACACTTCCCATCCTTAGCTGGCCAGTTTGTACCTGTCTTTTTCCATCAGGTTGTCTTACCTGAATAATTCTATCTCTATTTATCTGCCTCTGTAGTTTCACAGTATCTTTTGTAATTTCATACTTAATCTTGTGATTTTTTTTGCTTCTTTCTATTATTATTATTGTTGTTGTTATTATTTTTTAAAGGGAGAGAATTTTTTTAATATTTATTTTTTAGTTTTCGGCGGATACAACATCTTTGTATGTGGTGCTGAGGATCAAACCCGGGCCGCACGCATGCCAGGCGAGCGGGCTACCGCTTGAGCCACATCCCCAGCCCTGTTATTATTATTATTGTTATTATTATTATTTTGAGATGGGTCTCACTGTGTTGCCCAGACCTGACTTGACCTTGTGAACCCAAGTGATCTTCTCACTTCAGTCTTCTATGTAGCTGGAACTATAGGCATGTGCCACCATGCCTGGCTTCTTATCTCTTAGATTGTTAGGGTTTTAAAGTAAAGGACTGTCATTTCTTTCTGCAATTTGATCAGGAGCACTGCCTTTTGTATATAAGAAAAAAAGTTCTCCAAATCCTTTATTTCACTTTTTGACATCCAAAAGTGAATGATTAGTAGGGGTAAGATTGAGTCAGCATGTGGAATAGAGAAGAGAGGCTGGGCTTAACAAAATTATACTTTTCAGAGAGTCAGCAGCTGTGAAAACATTTAGGGTGAGTTGAAATTTAATTCTATAAATAATCAAAGTTTACATAATTTATTCATTTGTCAAAATAAGGTGTAGGGCATGTCTACAATAAATACCTTAATTGGATAAGGTAACTTAAAAATAAATGTCTATCTGGCTGTGGTGGTGCACCCTGTAATCCCAGTGATTGGGGAAGATGCTCAGGAGAATTGCAAATTAGACACCAGCAATTTATCTGGGCAATTTCTTGAGACCCTGTCTCAAAATACGAAGCTCCATGGTAGAGCGCCCCTGGGTTCAATCTCCAGTACCAAGACCCGCCCCCCAACCCCCCAGTGCTTTTGAGATGTGTCTTATTCTATATCACTGGTATTCTGCTTACATGTGAAATTAGTAAAACTCATTTTTCTTAACTTACTATTATAGTCTGACCCAAACAAGTGACTATGTTTAGATTGTAATGTGTAATTTGTAAAGGTACCTCTTCACATATATAGACATACAAGCCTTTTGTATGTCTGCGAGGTAGTATATATTCAGTTTCATGTAATGTTTGTTTTACCTTTTAAGTAGTTTCAGACTTCAGGGCCTGGTTCAGAGTAGCTACCGAATATTTAGTATTATACTTAATTGTGAAAGAATGGGAAAAGTGGTAGAATACCTGAAGAGGGGCTCTGGTTTGAAATTGAGGAGGAGGTAGTAGAATAGACTTTGACAGTGGGTTGTCCATCACGGCTATTACATGGAGACCGATACTGTTTAATATTAGCTCCATAGATGATATCTCTGACTCTGGTTGTCTCTTCAGCTTTGGGTTGTTGGAGTCCTGGTTGGGAAGGACTTGTTGGGGAAGTAGTTGAGTATGAGAATTCCTTATAGGAGGTTGGTCAGATTGGCACCAGCTGGCCCACCCCTTGTCACAAGGCAGTGAGATAGACCATTAGGAACTGTGGTGTTAATGAGGCCAGGCCACAAGGTTAGGTGAGTTTGACAAGTTGTATTTCTGGAGGAAAAAAAAACAAAAAACAAGAGAATTTCCCTGTGTCTAGCATAGTACCCTATAGGTGACTTTAAACTGCTTATTGAAGAAGTCCCAGATTAAGCTGGCTATTTGCCTTTTCTTATTGCTTGAGTCTCAGCCAGGTAAGAGATTTTGTGGTCAGTGCAGTCTAGCATCATTCCAGAAGAAAAGGTGGAAACAATGCTCATGTTTAGTTGGAGGGGAGTATGGAGATGAAGGGGTTCGCAGTCACTTGTTATTATAGTTAGAATATTGTATTAAATAATAAAATTTTATCTATTTTTGTCTGTTTTTCCTGTAAATGTTAATTTAAGAAGGGAAAAAACTGTAAAAAAATAGGGAGTTTTCTGTTATTTAAGTGATTGGTTAAAGGAACATTTGAGTATGCTGAGGCTTAGCGGAAGGAGAACATTCAGAAAAAGTATTGCAAATGTTTCATTTAAGCCTTCTGATGTTTTAGCTTTGGCTAAAATACACTTTGGGTCCTTGAAATTTCTCATTACAAGCCTGGTGTCGTTGCACAGGGCTGTAATCCTAGTGGCTCGGAAAGCTGAAGCAGGATAACTGCAAGTTCAGAGCCAGTCTCAGCAACTCAGTGAGGCCCTGTCTCTAAATAAAATATTAAAAAGGGCTTGGGATGTGGCTCAGTGGTTAAGCGCCTCTGGGTCTAACCTCCAGCACTCGCCCCCCACCCCAAAAAAATCTCATTACAGAAAATCCAGCAAATAATAGGATAAACAGTGCGAAAATCACCTATTACCTTCAGTGTACTTTTTTTGTTAAAAACACTTAATTGAGTTTATACCCTAGAAACAGTTTTACATTGTTTTCTCTTTAAGAGATTGTCATGTTCATTTTAAAATTTGTTCAATTTTAAGATAAGCATGGAGAGTTTGATAATATAAAATGATGATATGGTAAGATTATCAACTTAGGCATAGGGCTAGGGTGCTAGCTAGGTCATTGACATGTCATGTGTTTATAATTATTAGAGGGTAAAGTTATATAGTTAGTAGAAATGAAATTTAATATTAGATACTGGGTTTTTTCCTATTTTAGGCACTTATTTATCACAAATAAAGGTAAGACTATTGGGATCTAAAACTTAATTGTTGAAAAACTACAGTATTCAGTGTCATACTCAGTTATGTGGAGTCTGCATAAACATAGTCTTCATATCATCCAGCTTTACTTACTTTCTGACTTTCTCCTACCTCTGGCTAATCTTTTTATAATAGATGAAAAGA